CAGTTTAAAGAAGAATTCAATAAATTTGTTACAGAAGAAGGTTACACGAGAGATCAAATTTACAATTGCAATAAGACTGGCATAAATTATAAAATGATGCCTTTCAAAACATTGGCCGCAAGAGAAGAATCAACTGCTCCGGCATATAAAAAAAATAAAGAAAGAGTTACTATTTTAGCGTGTAGCAATGCATCGGGAACACATAAACTTCTATTGATGTGTATTGGAAAATCAGCCAAATCTAGAGCGATTAGACACATAAAACCTAATGCTTTATCAGTGTACTACGCTCATCAGAAGAGTGCTTGGATGAGTATCAATCTTTTTCAAAAATGGTTTTTTGATGAACTTGTATCTTCAATTAAAAAATTTTTGAAAAAAATGGTCTTTCCAGAAAAGCGATTCTTTTACTCGACAATGCTCCATCTCACCCAAATGAGTCAATTGTAAAAAGTGGAAACATCATTGTAAAATTTTTTCCACCAAATGTGACTTCCATTGCACAACCAATGGATCAAGGAGTACTAGAAACACTCAAATGTCATTACCGGCGTTTCTTACTTCAAACACTCCTAGAAAATAGCAGTGACAACAAGACATTTAAGGAATGCTTGCTTGCAATAAACATGAAAAATGTGATTTACTGATTAGCTCAAGCTTGGGATGCTATCCAAAGATCCACAATAGAGAAATCATGGGCAAAAATTCTGGATTCTGATAGCCAAAGCAATTAAGTTCCAGACAATGTAGATTTGCATAGCATGATAGAGCAAATCCCTGGTTGTGCAAACGTCGAGAAGAACAATACTGATGAATGGGCTAATGGTGACGATTGTGAACATGAGTTTACTGACGATGAAATTTGCCAACTCGTTAATTCTGGAGAAGAAATCGCAGATGAAATTGGAGATGCCGAAATGGAAGAAAGTCAGCACATCAGTCATGAAGAAGGATTAAACGCTCTTGAACTAGCTCTTAAATATGTTGAGGAACAATCAGAAGCTATTACAAGTGATCTCTTATTAATAAAAAGATGGAGAGATATTGCAGCTAAAAAACACATGAGCAAATTAAAGCAGTCTCGTATTATTGACTTTGTTAAACCAATAACGCATGTTTGCAACAAAGAATAATGTGCATTCGTCAATTGACTCTTATATTTTATATTTTTATCTAATAATATTTAATAAAGTTATGTTTTCAAATACATAAAAAAAACATACATATATAAAAGTTAAAACAGCCTTTGTATGTATCTATTTTCCGTATTATTCGAGATTTCGGTTATCCGAGGTATGCTCCTCCCACATTACCTCGGATAATCGAGGTTCTACTGTAATAAGATTTCGACAGTAAATAAATTGACTAATTACAGTCATATGTTCTCAAGAAAATTCGACGATGATTGACTAATTTGCTTACTGCTTAAGTTTTACTTTAAACTATTGTACATGAAATGGAACAAGATATAAAACAAAAATGAAAAATGAGTATTGATGAAGTTCTAATTTTTCTCGCAAAATATTATTTTGATGAAATAAAACTGTAAATTTTGTTTTTTTTTAAATCAGAAAAATAATTATAAAACAGATTTTACATTAAATAATATCAAAAAATTTTTTATATTTATAAATTAAGTTTTACATTTAATATTTCTAAAAAAATTTATTATTGTTAAAAAATAGATTACATTTATGTTAAAATTATAACTTATGTTAAAATGTAATAAATTATGTTTTATGTGTGTATCAAATTTTGGCAATGCAATATAATATCTTATAACGTAAATAAAAAATTATACTTGAACAGTATTATTAATTAACTTTTACTATTATTTTTTTATTGTTTAAAGCCATTTTTATATAAAAAAAAAACTATTTTCCTGTAGAACCCTAATTATTATCATTCTTTCTATAGCTACTTTTAGTGTATTAATTCTCTCTCTCTCTCCTTCCTCTCTCTCTCCCTCTCTCTCTCTCTCTCTCTCTCTCTCTCTCTCTCTCTCTCTCTCTCTCTCTCTCTCTCTCTCTACTCTCTCCTCCTCTCTCTCTCTCTCTCTCTCTCTCTGTCTCTCTAATTGCATTGTCCATTATAAAAATTTGTCATTTAACGCATTTATAAATTGTACGCATGCACTTTTGTCGCGTATTTCTCTTGTATACTCTTGATAAATTAATCACACTAAACGTTTTGTGTCCGTTTCTAATGCATATATTTATTTCCTAAATTTTTGTTTTTGATTTATAAATTATGTATAGAATATTTCACTCAAATATAATAGCTTTCCCAAATATTAATTTAAATTTAAATTAATTGTGTTAATAAGAATTTTAGAAAAACCGTAATTGGAACCGAAAAAAATCATTATTTAAAGGATTTCGGTTCTTTTTTATCAACTAAAAAACCGAAACTGGAACAGTTATTAAATATTTTATTGGGCCGTATCCATAAACCTAATCGAAATATCATATTAATCCGAGTCCCTGGTAAGAAGGTTTTTAAATGTAAAGAAAAAAACCACTATAGTGGTGTTTTGTCCCAAAAAGTCGCTTAGAAGAAAGCTATAGCTATATGCATGGCGCGTAATATCTAAAAGATTAAATATACATTTATGCAAAATATTTTACTAAATCGTTCCAAAATTACACAACTTTAATTTTAGTATGAATCCTTACAGCAGAATTATATTTTGAATGATAAATGTGTATATAAATAATAATAAGATATCTCTGTAAATATCTTCATGGAATAAGAATGTACAGAAATGTTTATATAAATATATATCAAAGTTTGCTGATTTTAAAGATATCGAACAAAAATGTTGGAGCATCGTAAAATTACGTTTAATGTTTGCAATTTTGAATTCAGATATAATTTCTTTTTAAAAGTTTCAACATACCTATCATAAATATTACTACTTATTTAAAATAGTAAAAAAAATACTAATGCGCTACTTATGATTGACTGCCACATATATGGAGAAAAGGACTTCTTAATGCAAGTCGCAAATTGCTAAAAGTATATTTTACTGTACTTATAATTGATGATATATTCCATACATACTTAATTTTAGTCAAAATGTAATTTTGTAGTACACCGTAACAAAAGTAAATGGCTTTTTTTCATCATAGTGATAGTAGATCGATTCCAAAACGATTTATAGTAACTTAATAATAAAATCGTTAATAATAAAATCAAAAACTCGCGTTTCTGATCGGAAATCAAAAGTATAAATAGTTCCATAATAAGTCTTAATTCCAAAAAAATCAAAAGTATAAATAGTTTCATAATAAGTCTTAATTCCAAAAAATTTTGATTGAGTTCGGCAACAATAGCAACATAATTCAAAAAAATTAGGTTTCTTCGATTGTTATCTGAGATTGGATTGCTTGATCCAATAGATAATTAGTGATGGTTCATCAATTGTCTATAAAGAAAAAAAGAACTTTGCTATCGCAACAATTCGCCTCTATGACACATTTAATGTAATAGCAAACTTTGCTCACCATAATAATTATTTAATAATACAATCAAATTTCTTTTATTTGTGAAATAAAATGCATTTCGCAGAGAAAATTTTAAAAACATTTACTGTGAAAAGAAAATAATCTGTCAGATGCATATGCAACAAAATTGTCGTTTTAGCGCATTGAGCTATATAACATACTGGAGAGAGTCTTCTCATAAGAGTCAATGTGTAGTTTTTGGTACAAGGAGAGCAATAATGGCCGGGGAATGTCTGTTCTCTTTCCACATTGTCACCATGTATGGTGGGGATGAGACAGATACCCCCCGGCAATATTAAACTCTCTTTCTACAGTGAAATCAACTCCACTACTTCAAGGCTCACTCTAGTATGGAACTAGTTATAGAGCTCAATGTTCTAGCGATACATAGGCATTAATTAGTTTTATTATATATAGTGAAATTAACCTCTTTTCTTCGTGCGGTACCAATCAATCAGTTATTCAAATTTAATCTTTACTTAATATTTAAGTTTTATAGTTTTAATTTTATTAACTGAAAAATTTGCTATGATAGCGTAAAATGCTAGCGAATGTCTTTTCTTCATCCATCGGTATCGAATAATCGTTATTCAAATTTTGTTCTTTCTTAAGGATCGTCATATTATATGGGGTACTTACATGCACTTATTGCTTTAGTCCAATATCGTAGACTAATTTCGACGTACGTGTGAGAGATTACACGCATAAATATTTAGGACTCTTTCATATAACAGAATTTACCGTTGTATATTGTATATTGTAACATAGATATATATATATATATATATATGTCGCAGCCTTTTTGTGAAATTAGCCTTTTTGTAATAAGGCTAGCTTTTATGTAAACCGGTGACTTTTTGCGAAAACATTGATCATTTTTCAATTAGGCTGACGCACTTGAGACTTTTTGCAAAAAGGCTAATTAATATCAGCCTTATTGGTTAACAAGACACAAATAATAATAACAAAAAATATATATATATATTTAATAATAAACAATAACAAAGTTGATTTTTTAATATTGGCTTTTATGTACTAGTTACTACCATGATTTAAAGTTTTGCGCAAAAAGGCTAGATGTTTCGTTAGTCTGTTTGCAGAACGTCATCAATGTTTTCGCAAAAAGGCGTCGTTTTGCATAAAAGCTAGCCTTATTGCAAAAAGGCTGCGACATCTATATATATATATATATATATATATATATAT